TTTTTTTTTCCTCATCTTCTCTTCACACCTTTTTGTCTCCACGATTCCTGCTACCTAGATCTAAGGTTTGCTTCTCATCTTTTTTTTTTAAAATATAAAAAATTTCTCCCTTCATTTCTAGGTTGTATTCTCAAACAAGGTTTTACTCCGCATCACCCTCAGGGCGGGTTGCTATGAATTTATTGGGTTTGTTCGATCACTGGTGTATTTTCTTTACGCTCTTTCTAGGTTTCAATGGAATGCTATGAATTGATTTTATAAAAACAGAAAAGAAAAAAAAAAAAAGGGGACTCATCCTACCTTCTGGGTTCTAATGGATGAACCACATATCGCATTTGGAAAGAGGGGGCTCATCATACCTTCTTGAAAGAGGATTATTGAAAACATCATCAATCTATACTCTTTTAATCTCTAAATTTACTTAAAATATATGGAAAGGAGTGCATATATGCTATATTAATTGTATCTCCTTGTTTTTTTTTTGGATCTTTGTGTATTTTGTTACTTTCCTTCTGGGTTTCAATAAAATGCTATATTAATTGACAAAAACAAAAACAAGGCAGTATGAGCACACATAACGCATCTGGAAAGTGATAATGAGGGGTCAAAGTGAATTGGACATTAATTGATGGATAACTAGGCAAGGAGGGCATTGAATACTAGCGGCATGATGGGAAGATTTTGAGTTATTATATCCATATGTGAATTTCAATTGGTCATAACAATTTTGAGTTGTTATTATATCTATTTGTGAGTCCGGTCATAACATTCAGAGTTTAGGTATTGCAATCTTAAATAATAACCTCATGCCCTTCTGAGTCATTATGCACAGCTCACAGCACTTTCACATAAAAATTTACCAAACACTTGAAAACGGATTATTGTACCAAAATCACTTTTAACAAGAAGTTTACCAAACGCCAAACTGCTTTCTTTCATAGTTGATTTCTCATACAGCAAATTCGACAGTGATTATTTTCACAGCACAGCAATGCCAAACTGGCCCTAAGTGCTAATTTGGCATTGCTTATTTGGGGTAATAAGAGCATCTCCAGGAGACTCTCCAAATTTTATCCAAATTCTAATTAAAGTAACTAGAAAGCTAAAATAGCTAACCACTTAAAAGCTGGTTCCTCCAGCAGACTCTCTATTTTAGCTAACCTCGAATATTTTATTATTTCTTAAAATTTAAACATTTAAGCATACCTACTTTTCCAACGGCTAGTTTTTTTTTTCTTTCCAAAATGACATATTGTCTAACTATAAATAAGAACATATCTTCACTCATTTCCCTTCATCTACCAAAAACAAAAAACAAATTCCTTCTTCATTTCTCATTATTTTATTTGAATTCCATTTTCTCATTAGTTCTTACTATTATTTATGGCACGTCGTTCTATAGCAAGTCGTTTTCTACGTAGTATTGTCTTCGACAACGATGTCCTTGATGACCAATATGAAGATGATTTGCTTGCACGTATAGAAGCAGCGAATCTAGCCAATGAAGGACAACCATCAAGACGTCGTGGTTCTATTGAAAGTCGTGTTGTCGTTCCACGCAACATAGCTCGAGGTGGTCAAAATCTTTATGAAGACTATTTCGCTGATCCACCTGTATTTCCTGACCATTTATTTCGGAGGAGGTTCCGAATGAGTCGCAACATTGTTCTTCGACTTAAAAACGCGGTGGAAAATTATGATCCTTACTTTATTCAACGAAGGAATGCCGCTGGACTTCTCGGTTTATCATCCCTTCAAAAGATTACAGCCGCACTAAAGATGCTTGCTTATGGCAATGCCGCTGATAACTTGGATGAATATGTGAGGATTGGAGAAAGCACTGCTTTAGAGAGTTTGAAAAGATTTGTCAAGGCAATTGTTGCAACCTTTGGTGATGAGTACTTGAGATCGCCAAACACCAATGACATCACAAGATTGCTTGCAATTGGGGATCAACGACACTTTCCTGGGATGTTGGGGAGCATTGATTGCATGCATTGGAGATGGAAAAATTGTCTATCTGCTTGGCAAGGTATGTATTATGGTCACTTCCATGAACCAACAATTATTTTAGAAGCTGTGGCTTCATATGATCTTTGGATATGGCATGCCTTTTTTGGGTTACCAGGATCCCATAATGATATTAATGTCTTAGACCGATCTTCCGTTTTCAATGAACTGGCTGAAGGTCGCGCTCCTCCAATCAACTATTCAATTAATGGTAACGATTGTACCATGGGATATTATCTTGCTGATGGTATATATCCAACATGGTCAACATTTGTAAAAACAATCCCTGCACCACAAGGAAATAAGAAGAAATACTTTGCTGCAGCTCAAGAGTCAGTTAGAAAAGACGTCGAACGTGCATTTGGGGTGCTTCAATCACGTTTTGCTATTGTGCGAGGAGCAGCTCGTCTATGGGACCAAAACACATTGAAAGACATTATGACTGCATGCATAATAATGCATAATATGGTTATTGAGGAGGAGCAACATGATAAGAGATATTGTCATCAAATCCATAACTTTGATAGAAGGGGGGAAATACCAAATATAGAACCTACACGTGAGTGTTCACTAGGACTAACGCAATTCATTCAAAGCCATATTCGCATCAGAGACAAACAAACTCATTCTAGGCTCCAAGCAGATCTTGTCGAGCACATGTGGCAACAACATGGAGGAGAATAATGAGTACTTCAAGGTTGCGGATGCTTATATGGATATTATTCTTCAAAATGTAATCTACTTCTTAGTAGGTTTTCATATTCTAGTTGACTGGTTCTCTGTTTACTTTAAATTAATCTATTTGAGTTGGCTTGTTGTGGGGGGGATATGAAACAGAGAAATATGATATTGCTTGAAAGTGATCAAGCAGTCCGCCAAATCAAACAAAAAACAAACAGAAAACCCCAATAAAACCAATCAGCAACTCATTGAACTCTTATAAACAACACTCTTTCAACCTTAGTATTTCTAAAACTACCTGTAACAAGCAGTACATTACAGCACTCCAAAGAGCATATCAGTTTACCCAACAAAAATTATAGGCCAAAGAGGTACATAATCAGTTTCCCCAAAAATAAAATGCACATAACAGCTCCAATCATTTCGACTAACCAGCAAATTGTTGTGGCTCATTCCTCCTCCCATCAGCAACTTTTGCCAAGATGTCCTTTTGAAGGCCTATAATGTATTCTGCTTGCATTGGTAGCATGTTTGTAGTATCCATTGCCATTATTCTAGAATCTTCACTTCGACGTTGAATTAGAACTTCTTCACGCCTAATAGCAAGTTGCTCTTGCTCTGCAACATACATCAATTGGAATTGCTCATCTTGTCTGCGTGCATGTTCTAGTTTCTGTTTTCTTAATTCTTGGATTTCCATTTGAAGATCTATTGCAGACTCTGCATTTCCACCCAATGGATTTTTACCCTTTCTCTGGCTTGCCAATTTCTTTGCAGCCTTTTTACCTTCTGGCCTTTCTATACATCTAGATTCTTGAGAATCTTCCCCTAAATTGACTGCACATGGAATGGAAGGAGAAGAAGATGCAGGGCTTGCATTTGGACTAGTCTTGGATTTTTTCTTGCTATTTTCAGTAGTCCATTTAGGTTGATCCTTCAATAGATGCCAACAATGCTCATACACAAATGTTGATCCCATGAGTTGTTGATACATCTCTTTTGCTTGTAAGATCTGCACAGTGGACATTGGCTTTCATATGTAAATGGCATATTCGGTATTAAACTAACAGACATCAAGTATCAAGCGTGCAAATATTCTCACATGCATCTACATATATATTGGCTAATGTAAGACTTTTTAGCAAGAGAAAATATTTAACAATTAAAACAAGCAAGGGTTAGAACTTCTAAGTAAATGGCATAGGCGAGAAGATTACCCTGTCTTTTTCATTGACACCACTTTGAGACCTCACTATTATTTATGGCACGTCGTTCTATAGCAAGTCGTTTTCTACGTAGTATTGTCTTCGACAACGATGTCCTTGATGACCAATATGAAGATGATTTGCTTGCACGTATAGAAGCAGCGAATCTAGCCAATGAAGGACGACCATCAAGACGTCGTGGTTCTATTGAAGGTCGTGTTGTAGAGAAGCACATTAATTTTATTTTTTTTCACAGAAGCACAATTTGCAAATCTAGAGAAAGATAGGCCCTAGCAAATTAATCACCTCATATTTAAACATGGAAGCGGCTGTTGTAGCAGGTTAAGGCCATTGTTTTGCTGCTCCCAGTTATGAACCTCCTCTGCTACGGCCTTCTCCTTCTCCTTGATCTATTCACAAATTGGGCATAGGAAAACAGAAACCATAAAAATAAAATTACAAAGAAGCAAAATAATTAAAGACATATGATGGCACAATTTGCAGAAATTGCAGCAGAATTTATCCAACAATTCAAGTACTTTTAAATACTTTCCCCTAAACCCTTGTAGAAATTGTATCATATACAAACCCAAATACTTTCCCCTAAACCCAAATTGTAGAAATTGCAGACGAACTTGTTAATTTGAAGCACAAACCCAAACCCTTCCAAGCAAAAACCTAGAAACCCATATCAAATTTCAAACCTAGAAACCCAGAAACCCATATACAAATTTCAAGTAATTAAAAGGGAATTTTCAAATCTCACCTGGAAACACCACTTCAGAGTTCAAAGAGGGTGGAGAAACAGAGAAAATAGAGATTGAGATGGAGACTTTGACAGAGAGAATAGAGATGGCAATGGAGACTTTGACAGAGAGAATAGAGAGAAGCGATGAAGTTTTGGGTTTGGCGAGCCTTGAATTTCTCTCTCCTCCTCTCTACATGTAGCGAGCCAAAATAGCGATAGCCAACATGGCGAGAGAAGTAGCGAAGCTGCTGGAGGGTTGTTTTTCCTTCTTTTTCGCTAAAATAGCTAGGGATAAGGGAGTAGCGATGCTCCTGGAGATGCTCTTAGTCCCAATCCTAACTATTTTAGGAATTTTTCATTTAGAGAAAAATGCATGAGTTGTTTTAAAGGTAATAGTGAATTACGATTTATGGTTTCTATGGCTAGAAAGGATATTCCTAACTTCATAGGTTGCAGTGTCTTCCGACCCAAAATTCTTTTCACAAGCAATGTGAAACCCCGTACTACTTGCCACACTTATTTTTGGTTTTTCAGAAGATATCCTAACTCCTTGTATGAGTGATTTGGACCAGCTCTGTATGAAGAAAATTCATGGGTATAAGACGGTGTACACTTATCTTATGCAACTATGGGCATTAGAATCCTTGTCTCCACCACTCCTCATTTTTCTGATGTGCTTAGCTTTGATGTCGCCAGTAAGTGGAGTGAATAATGCACGACAGTTGTTATTTAAGCAAGGTAGTTTATCTAAACGAAATTGCGTGGCTCTACAAACAAATTATGCTTCGGATGCTTCGCCATAAAATAGATCGACCCAGTTCCAGTTCTTTTCTGGTGAGCTTGCTTTATATCTCCGACACACAAGGAAGGACGCGGTGGGAAGGAAGCAGCCCTAGCCTCTATCTAGCCGACCAGACAGGACCCAACCCAAATTCCACTTTAAAATCTGCGCCAAATTTTGTGTGTGTCCGACACCTGGCAGGTGCCGAACACTCTTAACCAAAATGCCCTTCTAACAAAAACCAAAAATTAACTTCAAGTTTGACTTCGGCCGAAAATTCGGCAGAGTCTCCCCTGTAAATA